TGAATGGGGCGTCAAAAGGAACTTCTTGGTGTCAAAACATTCCTTCTGTCTATACATTTCTGCTTACTGTTGTCTTTCCTGCCTCAGCTGCCTTCTGAACTGCCTTCCCATTTTAAAGTATTGCATAAAATGGTGACATTCTGTTGGTTTAGCAGCATACATATACAGAGAAAGGAACCATTAGGATATGCAATTATCTTCCTCAACTTTCTAACACCCTTGCAGACAGAATTTCTATAAAGTTTCATTTTTGGAGCTCATTCTTGTGAGGCAGAAAACCTCTGGAAGACTTAGGGGGGTTTCTGTTGTTTAAACACAGACACACACACATACACATATATACACACACAATTTCTTTAAGAATTTCAATTTTCAGTCTTTTTCTTTTTTTTGCTTCTCCTGCCAAATCACGCACGCCAACCTAAATATGCGTATCATATATGCAGACATTCAAGATACTAAAAGCAGAACAGCCTCTTTTAAGGGAAGCATAGTATTTTGGGGTTGGAGTTCTCCTTGTCTGTCTGGAATATTCTCATTTATATGAAAATGTCTAGCACTAAAGCAGCCTACTGTTGAAATTATGAAGGTCCTGCAGATTCTGCCAGCATGAAGGGTGAATTTTAGGAAGAGCATCTGTGAGGTACCTTTTGAAGTCTCACTTCATGGAACAGTGGAGGTCGTGCTCAGTGCCTCAGAAAGCTCTTTCCTGGAAAATTCCTGGTGGAACATGTCTGTGAGCTTTACAAAACTCTGATTTCCCAGCAGCAATGCTGAGCAGAGACATCAGAGGTGACACCTAAATCTATACAGAGAGAGAAGACTTCTGGGCACTAGAGTTCTTCAGAGCTGTGGTTCATTGGGCAGACTGAACTTACCAACACATATCTCAACTTTCAGATCTAGAAAGCAAACACAAAAGGATTTCCTGCCCATTGCTACAATGATTGCTCTCTCTGCCTGTGCATTGCTCAGGTGAGGTGTCTGTCAGGTTCAGAAGGGTATTCTCCCAACAGCAGATTAATTTTTTTCTTGTCTTCTTTTTAGTTTTCATGTGCACCTGCTTCCTGCCAGGAGTCGTCTCTAGCCCCACTCAGTTTCCACTTGAGTAACCAACTAAATTCTGATGTGACAATCTCACAGTTTACATACTTACAGTAAAGCCATACACATCATTTAATAAATGGTAACAGTTTGGAATTCTGCATAACTGTATGTAAAACACACATGATGACTTTATAAACTGCTGGCTTACTCTTGGAATGCAATTTATCAGGACCCTGCCACTTAGCTTATGGAAGCAGTCCCATGGCATGGCTTCTCCAGCAAGAGGGAAAGCAGGTTGTGCTCATGTCAGTGATCCCTGCCATTACCCAATCTGTGGGAATGGCTCATGTTTCACTTGAAAGTTATCCCTTTCCTGTTTACTTGGGGGAACACTCAAAGCTTTTTTAGAAATTCTTCCATTTTTCTTGGCGTGGGGCTATTAATTCTTGTATAGATTTTTATCATGGCCTCTTTTTCTAAAGATAGATATTTTGGCTGCTAATGAGTAGTTCAATAAGAAAAATATCAAAGTGGCTTTTCTAAAGAAGAATCTTGAAACATAATGTTCTTGGGGTTTCAAGTGTCATTTTTACCCTTCCATAAATGCTACATCCATGGCTCTGTTCTGAAATCACTGAGATTCATGTCTTCTGCAAAGTATGCCATTTTCACTGTAAATATTTAGATTTAGGTTTTTATTTATAATACTTAGATGTTAGGAAGATCAACCTTTGCAATAAATAAAAATAAATTCTTTCCAAGAAAGCATTTCATTCTCTCTCCTCTGACTCATGCATGGAAAGATAAAACTCATTAATTTTAGTCATGTATCAAAGATTGGGTAGAAGACCTTTTTTCCTTCCTATTCCTGACCTGTAAAATCAAGCCAGACCTTAATCTGATTTTGAGTTATACATGCAAAGTTGATATTGAAAGTACTTGAAGTCAAGTACTGAAAGCTTTTTTAATAATTTTAGGACATTTTTATGACAGTTGGCTGTGGCTATAAAGCATAAAAAATATCTGTCCAGTTTAGAAATGTGCAGGTTTTACAGCTGAAGGAGAAATATTTGTAAACAGTTTTTAATTCTCTGCAAAAGTAATTTCAAATGGTTTGTGTGTTTCCAGAACTTGTTGTTGTTGTTAAGATCTGTATACACCACAGACAGGTGTCATTGCAGACTGCAGACAAAGCGGTGGCCTCAAGGACAGAGGGACAGTGAGCTGTGCCAACCCCTGCCATCCCTGATTTATATTCCTATTGCTTGTCCCTGATCTACCAGTGTTTCCTTGTTTCTGCTCACAGTCTCCATTAAAACAAACTGTTTGTCTCAATGGATGTTGGATTATTAAAAGAGAATATTTTTGTGTCCATTTTGCATAAATAAGTCTATTTGATTGTTTATTCGCATAAGATGTGATGAGGCTTGTTAGGCTGATGACAGAGCTCTTGCCAGCCTTCATCCATGTTTATTTAAAGTCTCTGTATGATTTACTGCAAAACCTTCCCAGCTTCTCACAAATGTTTACTGATGGATGAGCTCGATTGAGACATCCCAGCTCATAACTCACAAGTCACAACATAATTCAGAAAAGAAATGTCTGCTTTCAACACACAGCCCTTGTGCAGTGAAACACCACCAAGTTATTCCAGATGTTGGTGATCACTACAATAAAGATCCATGACACTGGTTAAGCTGCAGCCTCTCACTGTGTTTGAAACAGACCCTGCAGGGACTTGGCCTCACACAGTAGCAACCTTGGGTGCTTAACCAGTGCTCCCAGGATGGTTCTCTGCAGGCAAAATGGGATGAGTATTTACACGTTGCCATTTCTTCTGTGTCCTGCAGAAAAATCATTCACCCTAAATAAATCATGCCCAGCCTTTAGTTTTACTTGCCTTGAACCAAATGTTTCCTCTTCCCCATCATTAATTAATTTTTAAGCCAGCTCAGGCACTGATAAGTCAACATCCTGGAGCAGGTGAGATGCCAGTTAAACATGAGGTGCCTGAACCTGCTTGTGTGCTTGGGAAGCTGTTGAACCTGGTGAAGTTAAAGGGAGTGTTAAAACCACAGGGAAATGGAAGTTTTCCTTGCACTTCTGCTTGAATTGCTGGTTTCCTGACTTGCATTTTTGATGAAGATCGTGTTCATGAAGAGAAGCTGGATGGTACAAATAAATGTTGCAGTCTGGAGGCACCGTGGCTTCTTGAACAAGAGCTCTGGGTCTAATATGCAAACACACACAGAGTTGTCTCAGCTAAAACTTCCATGTCAGCCAAGGCATCACCAAACAGCAGGAAAAGCTAAGCAGGAGATAGTGATTTGAATCATGATGTGAACATGGTGCCACCTGTACAAACACAGGCCTTTCCTAAAGATCTAAATCCTGTGCAAAAGGAGTCACCAGTTCCATGGAAGTACTGATGTGGAGTATTGGCCTCAGTACAGGCCTGCAGCTGCCTGTACCAGGGAAAGGTGGCTGAACCATGATGCCATTCCCTGTGGCACGAGGCTCATGGCAAACACAGATTGGGAAGTTTCAGCAGGAGCAGGTCTCTTCCAAGAACTCTGGACTCATCAGGGCAGCTGTCACTTCCTAACTTGTTCATTAGCCAAAGTTGAGTCAAATCACACAGACCTTGGCCTCAGACCTGGATTTTGAATCCTGGTGATGGAATTGGTTATTCATGCCAAAAAACAGCTTATTTTCCATAATATAATCTCTGTATCACCACAGAGTGTGCAACACTCTTGGGAAAATCTGATCCGTCTCAGGGAAGAAGTTAGTGTTGCTAGTCAAGATTTGGTGCTACTTTAAACAGCAGCAGATTAGACTTCCAAATTTGCATGAGAGGCTATTTTAGGCAGGGATTGGTATAATCCTGCTTGGTAATGGATGCCTCAGTGTGCTGAACAGGGAGCACAAGGTACAGGTTGATCTCGCCAGCAAAGGTCAAACACTGCTTGCACTCACCATATATGGCTTTGGATAGTAAATTGTTTTCCTTCCTGGGATAAAGACACTGAGTTTTTCTGTCTTGGCATCAGTTGGACTGCAAGAAATAGATTGTTTTGTTTTTAACGTTTTTCTAAGAACCGTGTCCGAGTGTTACCTGCCCTGTGCTGATAAAGGAGCGGGAGGCAGGTCCCAGAGGAGCTGGTGTGGCTGCTGCTGTGGCCAGTCTGCCATCTGCAGGCCACTGCTCCATGCTGGGGGTGTGGAGAGCAGCGCTTGGGAGTTCTTTCTTCTCCAGAAATTATTATTTCTAGCAAGTTGTTGTTTTCTAATAAGTGCTATCTAGTAATTTTTAACCTTTCCCCATCTGATCCTATAAATAGTCATCTCTGTTCTTAAAGAAAGCAAAGACAGTGGGGATGAGCAAACCTTGGATTTATCTAAGTTGATGAATAATTGCGAATTGTTGATTTTGTTGTCTGTCATTCATTTTTCTAAATAAACATTTTTGTGCCTAGAAATGGGACATTCCATAAGACATTCAAATTCTGTCCTTCACTTTCAGTCCATTAAATCTTTAGTAACACTTTTGTGGGGGTGGTCTTAGATTAAAACAGCACTGCTATAATGTTCAATTTTGAATCTTAAAAGATATGTTGAGCAGGAGATCTGTGTATACGACAGCCAGGCAGCTTCCAAGCACCCCAAAATAATTTGGTTTTATGTTCCACAAACTGATAGAGGATTCAGTAACAGAAATACTCCAGTTGTTACCTTCTTATTGCCCAGGTATTTGAAAGGTAAATGATCTGTGCTTAGCTGTTTTTTTAACCATTGCTAAAGAATCTTAAATGAGTTTTTAATCAGGGAGAGAATTCACTGTAGGTTGCCCTCAATTTACTGTTTTCAATGCTGTAACAAAACTTCATGTATAGAGTGAAATGTTTGGTGCGTGCCACATAACATTTCCATAATTTTTTTCTTTGTTTTAGGTCTTCCTGAACAATACTACAGCCTCACTTGGTTCCTCAGCCCTATCCTGGGCTTGATCTTCACTCCGCTCATAGGTTCGGCCAGTGACCGCTGCACGCTGAGCTGGGGCCGCCGGCGGCCTTTTATCCTTGCTCTCTGCATTGGTGTCCTCTTTGGAGTTGCACTTTTCCTTAATGGCTCTGTGATAGGTAAATAACAAGGAAATCCCCCACATGCATCCCTACTAATAAACCTGCTTTGATATTTTAATGTAGGAAGTAAAGATAATGTTCTGCAGTTGGTTTACCTCATATTTAATGTTAAAATCATTAGAAGTCTCCACAACCCTGCCCTTGAGCTCTGTCCATCTTGCCTGTTATTATTTGAACTCATGAGTTACAGCACTGTGCTGAGCATTGTGCAATCGTAGCTGTAACTGGTATTAATAACAATGTTATTAATACAATGGTTGCCAGCATAATGTTTGCAGTCACTGAGACGAATTTGGTTGATCCTTGACATGGGAAAATTGTAGCAACCTGTTCACAGGGAAATGTTTCCTGTTGTGATCCATTTTCCCTTTAATGCATATCTGGGAACACATCCTGTTTCCAGCATTATTTCAAAAATTATCTTTTCACTTTTTCTTGTGCTTTTCTTAGACCCGGTATTGAAAAAGTCCAGAACACAGTTAATATTTGTTTATCAAAAACTATGTGGGAAAATAATTTTTCCTGAGCCCCCATAAAAGCTGGTAAAAATAGTTTCCCTTGAACATAGTTTACTACTAATTTAATCTACAATCTCTTTGTAAATTTATTGTAGGAGAGGTGACAGCAAGTACGTTTATGAAAATGTTTACAAAATGATTGGACTGATGCAAACAAAAGGAACTTAGCACCTAATAATATCCTCTTGGCTCACTTTTTTGGGGTTAGATGCAGCTCTATTGTGAAACAGGTCTACTAATTGAGGGAAATGAATGGAATGTTACCTTGGCTCAGCCTGTTAAAGCCAGACTGGAATGCCATATGATTGGCTTCAGTTCTCTGCAAACTGCAGTGGACAAGCTATTCAGATAGGTGACATTTAGTTTATTCTTTTTTAATTTATCCAAACAATAAATATTATTTATTTGAATTGTTATCATATGGAATTGTCCTAGGATGACTGTATGGTTTGATATCAATTGTATTTAGTTGTCATTAATTGTATTTAGTTGTTGTGTCTCCAAAATTTACTCCTCTTCCTCCAGATGTTTGCAGGATGTTAGACTGCAACCCTCTTACAAGATTTTAAGTGATAAGAAGCTTTCAGTTCCATGCAGTAGTTTAGGTCAGGAGCCATTGATACGAGCAAGCAAACCTCAGGTTCAGTTTATAGGCTTATTTTGAAGCCTTCTAATAAATCAGCACAAAATTTTGTCAATTTTTGTTCTTTGCTTTCCTATCCGCAGTCTCCAGTTACTTGCAATCCTATTTGCAATTTAGGACAACAGGAGATGCTGGAAAAACTGTATCAGACCCTCTTTCATTATGTGGCCTCTGGTAGTAGGAGTCATAGGGAGGATAACCAGGAACACAGAGGTTGGCTAGTCCCAGTCATGATACAGCCATGTCCCAGGAGAACACCTTACCCAGCTCCTGTTCTCTCCTGCCCTGTTCAGGTTTCTAGCAGATATAAAGCACTGTTTGTGTTTTCTGCCTTCAAAGGGTTTGGTATAAATGAGGATTCAATATGCAGGAATCAGCACTTGAGATTTAGCTGATTTTCGGTAGCTTAGCCAGTTCATCTCCTTCCACAGACATTTTAATCGGTTACACTAATGGTTTTATCAGCCTCGCATGTGTAACTTCTAAATCTCTGTGATTTGAGTAATTCATGCTTTTGTCGCTGGTTCATCTTGTAACAAATTATCCAGCTCTGTGCTAATGCTGCCTTTCTACTCTGTAGACAAAAAGCATTTCATATCATGCTGTCAACAGAAGCTGACTGATGCTTTTGCAATGCAAAATATATCCATGTTGCTTCATCCTTAAAAGTTTTGCTTATAAAAAGCAATCTAGAAAATAAGAATGTTTAAGAAAATCAAAAAGATAGATGAAGGGGTTAAATGTCACTTTATCCTGGTGTACTGTGACTACTACACATTAAGCATCATGTCAGGAATGCTGCCAGCAGTGCAGTTACCTGTGAATGTATCTGACAGATGAAATATGTCATTTTGGATGCTCCCCTCTCCCACCATGGCTGTCTTTTATAAAAACAGCCTTCAGCATCTGAAGGAAAATACATGGGAGGAATACAAAATAATATCCAGTGCTCCCAGAGGTTTAAGAGATGCTTTATAACATAACATTTTGATAAATGTCAGTCTTAAGAACATGAAAACCATCCTTGTCCTAGACCTTCCATGATGCTGTGCCAAAGAGCTGAAACTGCCATTTTGCTCCATAAAGGAATGTTTGCAGTGAGTATGTTGGCCACCTTTCTCTTAAGGTATTAAGCTTGTTCTTAGGAGTTTGCCCTTTTTAAATGAGATGCTCAGATACCTCTCCCATTTCTCCCCAGGTCTGGCTATTGGTGATGTCCCAGACAAGCAGCCCATTGGAATAGTTCTCACGGTGCTTGGGGTTGTGGTGTTGGACTTCTGTGCTGATGCAACCGAAGGGCCAATTCGGGCCTACTTGTTGGATGTGGTGGACAGTGAAGAACAAGACATGGCCCTGAACATCCATGCATTTTCAGCTGGTAGGGAGTTAGCTGAGATGTTTTTGGCAGCTGTTCAGTCTTATTGAAGACCAGATTGTGGCTGAATTGATTTTTCCTGAACTCACTTCTCACTTTTTTCGGTTCACAGGTCTTGGAGGAGCAATTGGTTATATGTTAGGAGGGCTGGACTGGACACAGACCTTCTTGGGTAGCATTTTTAAATCTCAAGAGCAAGTCCTTTTTTTCTTCGCAGCCATTATTTTCTCTGTCTCCGTTGCTCTCCACCTTTTTAGCATTGAAGAAGAGCAATATAACCCTCAGCAGGATAGGATCGATGATGAAGGAGACACACTTTCCAGTGCCAAATTCAGTGGCAGTCTCCCCCCTCTGAACCGGCTGAATGTAATTAGTGAGGAAGAGCCCTATGGAGCTTCCATGTTCCATGATGAGGTTCAGTCGGAGCATGACCTCAATATGGAGTTCCTTGAGGTGAACATTGTGAGAAGCAAGAGTGACTCAGTTCTGCACATGCCCGATGCCACATTGGAAATTGAATCGGAGCTGCTTTTCCTGCATGACATCGAACCCTCCATTTTTCAGGATGCTTCATATCCAAACACTCCCCACAACACAAGCCAAGAGATCATGAAGTCCAAACTCAACCACCTGTCTGCTTTCCTCAGGGAGAATGAGAAGGAGGAGGAAATGTTGCTTGATAATCGTTTAAATGAAGATAAAATCCCAAACATCAACGGCTCCCTACCAAAAGAGTTCCTCAATGGGCACGCCAGAATAGGCATGAAGCAATCCAGCACTTCCAACTCCATGCGACGGCGGAGGCACATGTTTTACCGGCAGCCGTCCTACACCTTCTCCTACTACGGCAAGATCGGCTCCCATCGGTACCGCTTTCGCCGGGCCAACGCCATCGTCCTGATCAAGTCCTCGCGCAGCATGAACGACATCTATGACATGCAGAAACGGCAGCGGCAGCGCTGCCGGCACCGCAACCAGAGCGGCACCACCAACTCCAGCGGGGACACGGAGAGCGAAGAGGGCGAGACTGAAACCACTGTCAGACTGTTGTGGCTGTCAATGCTAAAAATGCCCAAGGAGCTGCTGAGGCTGTGCGTCTGCCACCTCCTGACTTGGTTTTCCATCATTGCTGAAGCTGTGTTCTATACAGATTTCATGGGACAGGTCATCTTCCAGGGCGATCCAAAGGTAGGAGAGCAGTTCCCATGGGCAGGCCTGCTCAGAGTCCCTCATTTCTGAGATGTGCTCAGTACAACAAAGTGGTGTTGGTGTTTGTGTCTGTTGCAGGCCCCTTCAAACTCGACTGAGCTGCATGCCTACAATGCTGGGGTTCAGATGGGATGCTGGGGGCTGGTGATTTATGCTGCTACTGCTGCTGTTTGTTCAGGTAAGAGACTTTGCAGTCATACAGTGGAATGCACCTCATGCAGGTATTTCTAAGGTAAAAGTAGAATCATGGAATATTCTGAGTTGGAAGAGACCCACAAGGATCATCTAATTCCTGGCCCTCCTGAAAGTGTTGTTTCAGTTGGCATCCACCTCCTTGTTTGGGGTAAAGGATATTTTGGAAAAGCATGTCTTGTGGTCTTGAGGGGAAGGGCTTCTTTAAGAATCAATATGAAAATGTTCCTCCAAATGTTGAGGTGGAAGTATGAACAGATGGTTAAGTGGCATAAAGCACAAAATGAAATCAAAGGATACTGAGTGGCATTTAACAAGCCTTCAGAAAACTAAAAGCATGCTTCATAGGAGATGTACACATATGCAAGAGGGTTTTTGCAAAGACTGTTTTTAAATCAAAATTATAAATATATATTTCTGAAAGTCATTCTGCAGATAATTTGGGCTTGCAATAGACTCTGAAATTTAGAGTTTTTGTCAAACTTAAATTCTGTCTTTTGTAGCACATAGCAGGCATGTCTGCACAGCTCAGTACTGTGGGGACAGGCTCTTTCTGAAGCAGGAGAACATCCTGTTCCCAATGGGGGTTGGGCTGTCCTGGTCAGACAGCCCAAATATGAGCATCTACCTCCTAAACAGGATATAGAGCTGCCACATCAATCCCCTAAAACTGATATTGAAGGGGAAATGGCTTCAAACTGAAAAACTTAGAAAATTTAGATTGGATATTGGGAAAAATTTCTTCCCTGTGAGGATGGTGAGGCTCTGGCACAGGTTGCCCAGAGAAGCTGTGGTTGCCCCATTCCTGGAAGTGTTCAGGGCCAGGTTGGACAGGGCTTTGAGAAACCTGGGATAGTAGAAGGTGTCCCTGCTTATGACAGAGGTGGTTTGAACTGAATGGTTTAAGGTCCCTTGCAACCCAAACCATTCTGTGATTTCCTGTTTTATTCTTCATCTCTGCAGCCTTATTGCAGAAATACTTGGACAACTACGACCTTAGCATAAAAGTGATCTACATCCTGGGCACACTGGGTTTTTCCCTTGGCACTGCAGTGATGGCCATGTTCCCCAATGTGTACGTCACCATGATAATGATCAGCACGATGGGTATAGTCTCCATGAGCATCTCCTACTGCCCCTACGCGCTTTTGGGACAATACCATGAGATAAAACAGGTAAATGGAATATTTGGAGTATATATGTGAATCAAGGCAGAACATTCATGTTTCTTATAAGATCATGGTGGCATAATGGATTTGTTAAATCAAATTATTGAAGATTACCTGCTTTGTTGAGATGTGTGCCAAAGCTTGAATGGATAGTAAATAGCAGGAGCTGGTGCTGAAATCAGATAGTTTTGGCACTGAGTTGGCTCAGAGGGAGTCATGATTGCTTTTTTCTATGATGAGGTATAAAACAATCTGGGTGCATGTGGCAGATGAAGAGAAATTAAATTATTATTGGAGTATTTACTATATATCTAGTTGTTACTCTGTCTCAGATGTGGTATGGTAGTGTTACTCAGGTTTTTCACAGTCTTAGATTTTGAAGTGAGTCTGGAAATGCAGCTGTAATTTTGGGGATGCATAAAGGAAAACAATTCTTCTGGAAACAAGGATGATTTTACTTCCCAACAGTGTCATTCCACTGTTCCATTTGGATTACACATTACAGGAGGATCATTTATTGCAAGTTCCTGCATTGCAATTGGGAGGGGAATTCCTTTTTACGATCATAAAATTAATGTTTCATGTACCAAAACACCAAATGTTTCATGTAAAATTGTTTTTACAAAACCTAATCTTGGAGCTAGAAGTGACCTAGTCAATGTCTGCCTCATGCTGCAGGGTCCTGAGGAGGCTGTTGATGAGCAGATAAGGAGGCTGTTGCTCTGGAGTTGTGTAGTGGTGCTACACAAAGATGATGTGAAGCTGACCATGGGGCTGAGGAATTTGAGGAAGGTTCTGGTGTTTAAGTATTGCTTTCATCCATTGTTTTACCTCCTACCACATTTCTTGTCTTTTTGCAGTACATCCACCACAGCCCTGGGAACTCAAAGCGAGGGTTTGGCATTGACTGCGCCATCCTGTCATGTCAGGTTTACATCTCCCAGATCCTGGTGGCCTCTGCGCTCGGTGGCGTGGTGGACGTGGTCGGCACGGTCAGAGTCATCCCCATGGTGGCTTCGGTGGGATCCTTCCTGGGTTTTTTGACAGCGACTTTCTTGGTGATTTACCCTGAAGTCAATGAAGAGCCAAAGGAAGAGCAGAAAGGACTGGGTCCTCCAGAGACAGCCGAGGGCAGCGGTGCAGGCATGGAGAAGCCGACGGTGCTGAAGCTGACGCGCAAAGGAGCCACGGCGGTGGAGCCGGAGGGCGAGTCAGCCGTGTGAGGCCACCGACACTTGTTCACCCACATTCCAAGGAGTGCAGGTGCAGGATCAAGAACTTTCGTTGTGGTTTTCTTTTTCCAGGAAAGCAAATTAGGACCTTCACTACTTGTAGCTAAAATTTGCAGAAGAAAAGGCAGTTTCATGCAAAAATGTAAATTAAATTCCGTAGTCCTTCCTCTAGGTTTGAGCAGGTCACTCTGACGCTAATTGCTTTCTCTACAACTTAGAAACATCATTTCTGAACACTTTTTTATTAAGAATACATTTAGATTTCAACTAAGTTTTATTAATCTGCATGAGACTCACAGTGTATACAATTAGCAGTTAGAAAAATTAAGTTTTCGGCTGTTTTTAAACTAACAGAAAATGGAAGCTATCTCTACCTATAGTTTCTTGCCATTTTTTTGTCTGAAAATTTCAGATTTCACTAGCATAATAACCGAATCAAATGCTTAGACATCAATCGATTTTTTCACAAGCATGATATTACTGGTCTGACAGCTACGTTAATTTTAGACTTCATGTTTTTGTTAGTGCAATTACTGCAGAATCCTTTTATTTGCAATTATTTTCAAGGGGAAAAAAGCAATTACTGCAGAATCCTTTTATTTGCAATTATTTTCAAGGGGAAAAAAGCAATTACTGCAGAATCCTTTTATTTGCAATTATTTTCAAGGAAAAAGAAAAGCAATTACTGCGGTTTCTAAGAAATTGCCATGAATTCTTTTAGTCATACTATTCACAACCACTCCCAAATCTGCTGCTTGTCAGGAGAGGGTGACACTGAGTGCTGGATGTCAGCTTTAGATGGAAGGAGCAGCAGCTGGGAGAGGTGACCAGCACTCATAGGTTTCTTTATCACAAGTGCTGCATTTTATGAATGTCGTTGGATTACGCTGTGACAATTTTTAGCTGAGAGTTTCACGTGCTGGTGAACTCGGGGGTTTTCTCAGCATTTAAACCTGATCATCTCTGGAAGAAGCTGCCGTGGAGAAAGGGCATCTCTGGGGTCAGCTTCATGGGAGGGGGCGTGCGGATTCTCTTCTGTAGGGAAAGGAAGTCACTGATTAATTGCACTTTTTACAATCCTTTAACCTCCTGGCTGGGAATGCAGCAGCCAAGGTAAAGGCACGGGGTCAGTACAACAAGGAGAACCCAAGGCCTACCTCCGTCACTTTATTGCTTAGTCTGGGTGTATAAAAATCTGTGTCAGAAACAGTTTTCAGGCCTTAAAATTCAAATGTTGCTGTTCCGGTCCCTGTGTTGGAGGAATTGTAGGCCAGAGCTCTTCTGAGCTGCCATACCAATGTCGTCAGCACATCCTCCATTGTCCCCTTCTATGATTCAGGACACAGCTGCAGTGCAAAGATACTTTTCTGGAAAGAGGTTGAAAGAGTTGTGCTAACTGGATTTAAAATAGGTTTGGATCATTTTCCAGCAGCCATTTAAAGCAACTTTCAAAACTTGTGTTTCACAAACTTCTGATTGTCATTTGTAAGACGTGTTTGTGATGCTGTTGACTCATTTTGGCTTGGGCCCCCTGGGCTGCTGTCAGTCCGTGTGCTGGACAGGCAAACACAGCGTGGTGTGAGATTCCTGCTGCCTCAAACTCCTCCTTCTCCGAGACTTGCAAATGCCTGTGTCAATCATGCTGCAATCCAGGCATTCAGACAAAGCTATATTACAATATGAAAAGCAATTTTTAATGAACTACTTGAATTGTCAATGTATTTGAGAAATGGATGTTTGGATGTATTTGAAGGTGGCGTCCGTGGGTTTCTCTGAAGGCTTCCAGTCAATGCCTATGGCCTCTGCTATCAAGAGTGACCAGTTTTTAGGCTGGTGACATCACAGAGCACTGAAGTACATGTAATCACACAGGACTTAGGGGTTGTATTTGTTTTTCCCAGTATCTTGAGGAAGTCTTTTTTTTCTCTATGGTGAATATTTTTTTTATGTAGAACACGTACTGTGAACTGTGTTCAGCCAGGGGAGTGATACTACTGAAGAGTGTGAGATCTTACTGAAGAAAGCAGTTGTGAGAAATTCTGACATGAATTTTACCATCTCAGTTACATTTAATATATTCCGGTGATGTTCATGTGTGAGAGACAAATGATGTGTTTCACCCTGGAACTGGCATTCATGTAAGTTACATGCTGAGTTACACATTTTAAAGTGGCTTTAATATTTTAGTTTTGAAGTTCCTTTTGAAGATTCTGATTCTGGTTAAATAACCACTGTCAAGTACTCCTAATTTTAATCTCTACTGCAGGAAAGGTTCTTCAACAGTTTAAAAACTTGCATCTTCTGACTGGTGCCAGCCTTACTCTTTCCCCAAGGGTTCCACGGACCAGCATGGATCAAATCTCCATTACTCCACATTGCACTTTCTAAGCCAAGATCTTTCACTGCACCATCAGACTGACCAAATAGCTGCAGAGAGGGAGGAGAGGCTGAAGCTCCCTCTGACTTCACATCCCACAGAGGAAACATGAAACCATTTTGGGACTGAGCTCACCCATGTTTATGGAGCTTTCTCAGCCAGGGAAGGCCAAGGAGGGAGGAAGGACCTTTCATTTTGAACCCAGAGGCTTCAAGCTATGGCAGGGCAGGGCCAGTTTTGTCACAGACAGCGTTTGGCATGGCTTCATTTCTAAGAACTGGATGTTAAAATCTGTGTTTGGAGTTATGGGGCTAATAACACACGAATATGCACGCTGCCACAGCAGGAAGCTGATTTCACTCCCTGGTAAAGGCAAAGGAAATAATTATTCATTGTAAATGTGCTGAAGTTTTTGTAGTGTTGCCAGAAGAATTAACTTGGGGAGCCTCAGCCAAAGCATCTCTTCCTATCCTTGGGCCAGCCAGGGAAACCTCCACTCTGGCTTTACCTGCTGAGGTCTCCCAAGGGCTTTTCCTTGGATGTGAGAGTTTTCTTTCTAGCCCCAGCACTTCTCAGGGTAGAGTGGGCAATGAATTATTTCTTCATCTGTCCCTTACCTTATCTTTTGATACAGAAATGATTAAATTTTTTGCCACAATTAAAGATAAAGTAGTACAGTTTTATGTGTTTGTTGCAGAGCTTGTGGAAAGAGAAGTTTGAAATGGCTTTTTTTTGTTATTCCTGGTGACAACGAACACCTTTTTTTTTTTGTTTGTATTCCTGTCTAGTTGAAGTCATCCCATTGGACCTTCAGTATAGTAGGACTAAGGTTTAGTGGTTCAATTCTGTGTTGTTCAGTACTATAAACAATTTTAACATGTTCTGCTGCAGTGATGTGTGACACGAGGCACTGCTGGTGCTCAGACCCTTGAGGGCTGTGGTCAATCAGCTGCACATCTTGAGATGTTTCATGTGAGAGCAGAGAAGCTTTAACTTTCACCCCTCAGAAAGGCCAAGTGTGGATTTGGCCCTGTTGGGTTATTCCAAGAGTCCAGTGATATCTGTGCTGTTTGTGGACAGCAATTTCAGATTCCAGAAGCAATAATTTCTTAAGAATGTTTCTCTTCCTGCTGATTTGATGACTTTCATAGAGATTTATTGCCTAAATAGCCTTTTAATAACACAAATCTGGCAATTTGCTGGCTGTGAGCAGTTGTGGAAAGATAGGAGTTGTTCATAATCATGAGGGAGGATGCCAGTAAATCCAAGAGAGGTTTGTGCTCTTGAAACACACAATGTCCTTTTCATCTTTCATCTGGAGCCTTTTTCTAGGCTCTGAAATATTCCCAGCACATCAGTCTGGAAAGGAGGTGGCTGCAAATGTACCCTCCTGATTTTTTTGCTGTTGCCAATGCTGGCACTCAGACACCAGGATGGAACAGGCTGTGTGAGGTTTTCCTCATAGCAAGGACCGAGTCTTTCTTATCCCTCTCCCAGCAAGATCTGAACCCCCCAGCACTTGCAATGACAGCAGCAACCATGGTGCATTTTGCAAGGTACCTCGTTCAAACCTCAGTTCCATCATTAAGAACATGTCCCCTGCCCTTGGTCCAGGGTGAGCTTGGCTTCCTCCAGAATCCACCATAAAAAGCAGGATTTTCCTGGCTGCCACATCTCACAACCATGGAGGTTGAAGTCACATCTATGAGCAAAGGTAGAGAAAGTCACACTTTGTTCCTGGGAGAGCTGGGACATCTGGGCAGGAGAAGCTCATGAGGCAGGTGCTGAGATTTGGGGGTTTTTAGGGATGTGTATGTGTGTGTGTGTGTGTGTGTGTGTGTGTATGTGTGCGCACCTTTGTATTTGTACATTTCCAGACACACTGCTTGGGCCAAAATACCTTTGGGGATTGTGTGTTGCTGTCCCTGGACTCCACAATGTTTTCAACTGAGTTCTTCCAGGTTTCCCTCATCCTAGTCTGATGTGAGACAAGCTCAGCTATAAATATGTATCCTTAAATGAACAAATTAACTCCTGCATGATATTCCAAGCACATGTAGCAGCTTCAGCATCTGAAGTGTCTGTCATGAAAGAGAAGTTGGTTTTCTTTGCAGCTGTTTTGTCCTCGTTTCCTTTGAATAGGCCAAATAAATGTAATGGACACCAAATGTTGCACAGAAATGTTGTTGATGACTGTGTGGAAAAAATACCAAATTTTATTTTTCTTTGCAGAAACTTTATGGTTCCAGAGAGTCCTTTAGCTGTTTTCTTTCCTTAAATGACAAAGCTGAACGTTTGTAAAGCACATCACATAATGGTCATTTGGAAAAAGTGGAGCTACCCAAAGTTTTCTCTTTGTCATGTTGCATCCAAAGGAGCTGCAGCAGCTCAAACACCAACTGGGGTTTGAATTCGAGTCTCAGCAGAGTTCAGAAACTGCCTTAGAAAACAACAAAAAGGATCAATTCCTTTTCATGACACTTGCACCCACTGATTTGCTCATTAAGGTGTTCCAGGTTTTCCTATCATTTAAATTAAAATCACCTCCTGGAAAACAAATTTAGTTTGGTTCCTCAACCCGAGCAGCTTCATCTGAATTTCCACTTCAGCTTCCCTTGCCCCAAGAAACGAGGGGTGCCCAGGAGGGAAAAATGCATCCCCCACCAAAAGAGAGTATCTGCTGTAATTAAAGGGCTTTTGAAGCCCTTGTGACCTGCTAAAATTTTAAGGAAAATGCATAGCATGGTTCAGTTTCACCTGCTCTGGCACATTTATTCTTAAATTTGGAAGTTTGGGTTGAAGATTTGGGAGCATTTAGTCAAAATCAATGTCACCTTATTTACCATGCACCTACTCAGTCCTCTGTAACAGCCAAACTATAGTAAATAACCCCAAGATCCAGACTTTTTCTCTCAAAAAATTGGCAATTCCCATTATGAATTTGTTTTGCCTGATGTAACATGAACACTAAGCCCTTTAAGTAGCCAAATGACCAGCTTATTTTAAATGCCTCGTATTACTAGAAAGCTGCATATAGGCATCTCATAGCGGGGAAAAAAATTAAAAAAAAAAAAAAAAGAAAAAAGAAAAAAGAATATTTAGTTCCTTTGTGAACTGGCCATATGACAACTACTTTTTTATCAACTTATTAAGTTGGGGCACTATAATAGCTCTTGCTGAGTTTAGCAATGTTTATAAGCATGTGTTAAACACATAATGTTGTTTTATGAGGAAAAAGGGATAAAGAAAAGTGATGTCACAGATGAATGTTTGAGTGCGTAGATGGCATAATGTATGTATGATTTTTATTTCTACACTGTTGAGCTTATTTTCTGTTTAAAGGTTAAAAAAATTGTTGCATGAGAACTGTTTTACTGTGTTCTGCACTTTCTGTTCTTTTTGTATAATCTTGATTTTTTTTCATTTATGCATAGAAAAAAAAATCAGTTTAGAAATATTCTACTCCACGAGACATTGTGTTCCAATCTGTTGTTCCAAAGTTCGATCTTAATAAACATTTCAGTAAGAGTTGGTGGCTCATGTCCCTGTGGTGTTTTTAGGGAAGGTGAGCAGAGGGACCCCTGGTCCCTGAGCTGTGAAAGGCAAATGACAGTCATCTGCACCCCAGAGTTTCATGAATATTTCCAAAAATGCTACTGCCAAACATTGCCTGGCAAAAATGCAGGTGTTGCAATTCAGAGATGATTCTAAACTCACCTGACACTTGCCAGGGTTCAGGTGTAACCCAGGAAAGAGCACAGGTGGAGCAAAATGGGGATATCTGGGGCAGGTGTGTGTCCCCAGCTCCAGGCTCTGCTCTGACAATGGGTGGTGGCTGTCACACAGAATCCATCGCCTCTCATCTCATCATCAGGGCTGAGGAGCTGAGGGTCTCCCCAGTTACCTCTGAGTCTATGATTTAATAGCCACAGGCAGCTCCCAAAGCAATCAGTTCCCATCCAAACTCATCAACCTCATGGACCATTGCGAACAAGAGGGGAAAGCTGGAGCCAGATCACAAACACCAGCTGATGGATAAACTTGCAGTGAAGAGCTCAATTGTGCCATTTGATTTCTAGTTTCTTTGACAGATTTAATCTGTGATTCTTCCTAAAGGAAATTCCTCAGGACATTAGTATGAAGTATCAGCAGCTCTGGGAAGTCAATGCCCACCTGGTGTTTGGTTCATTTTTCACAGAATCATCACAGAATCAATTACACTGGAAAATACCTCCAAGATTAAGTCCAGACTATGACCAATCACAACCTTTGTTAAGTAGACACTTAACAGAGCACTGAGTGCCATATCCAGTCTTTCCTTAAACACCTCCAGGAATGGTGACTCCACAACCTCCCTGGGCAGCCCTTTCCAGTGCTTGACAAAACATTCCATAGAGAAATTATTCCTAATACCCAATATAAGCTTCTCCTAGTGCTAATTGAGGCTATTTCAGCTTCTCCTATTCATAGAATGGACTTGATGATCTCCAAGATTTTTTCCAACCTAGCTGATTCTGTGATTCTGTGCTTGTGACTTGGGAGAAGAGACCAACCACCACTTGGCCACACTTTGCTATCAGGGAGTTGTAGAGGGTAACAAAGTCTACCCTGAGCATCCTTTCCCCAGATTGAGACCCCACAGCTCCCTCAGCTGCTACTCACCAGGCTTGTGCCCCAGAACCTTTCCCAGTGCCATTGCCTGTCCCTAGACACACTTTAGCACTTCAATGTCCTTCTTGTCATCAGTGGCCAAAAACTAGAAAAATTACATGAGGTGTGGCCTCCCCAGGCACAGAGGGACAATCACTGCCCTGGTCCTGCTGGCCACACTAGGGATGACACAGAAGGCCAGGAGGCCACCGGCCCCCTTACCCACCTGGGCACACGCGGCTCATGTTCAGCCACTGTCGGACAGCACCCCCAGGACCCTTCCTGCCTGGCAGCTTTTCAGCCACTCTGCCCCCAGCCTGGGGCACTGCAGGGGCTTCTTGGGACACATGGGCAGGACCCAGACCTTGCTCTTCTTGAACCTCATCCTGATGGCCTCACACCATCAATCCAGCCTGGCCACATCGCCCTGCAGAGTATTCCTACGCTCCACCAACTCGACACTCCCACGCACCTTCCTTGGTGTCATCACAAATTTACTACTGAGGATAACCTCAATGCCCTTGGTCACATCAGCAGGACAGACACTGAACAGGACTGGCCACAGGGGACACTGCTCGTCACCAGACACCAACTGGATACAGCACCATTCCCCACCACTCTCTGGACATGGCCATGTCGACAGTTCCTAAGCCAGCAAGGAGTGCCCCTGCCCAAGCCCTGGGCTGTCGGCTTTTCCAGGACTTTGCTGTGGGATACAGAATCAAAGGCTTGCCTGAAGTCCAGGGAGACTCCATCCACAGCTTTTCCCTCAGCCCCAAGACACATCACCCACAGCCCAAAGGACAACAGGTTGCTCACACTAGACCTGCCTTTCCTAAACCCACATTGGCTGGGCCTCATCCCTCAGTTGTCCTCTCTGGGCCGTGTGATCCCCCTCACGATGATCTGCTCCAGAACCTCGCCGGGCCCCGAGGTCAGGCTGACAGGCCTGCAGTTCCTCACATCCTCCCTGCAGCCCTTCTTGGGCCTGGGTGTCCCATTGGCACCTCCAGTCACCTGGGACCTCCCTGACTGGCCAGGAATGATGACAATAAAGGATGGGAGAGTTGCCTGACAAGCTCTTCCATGGGCTCCCTCAGCACCCCTGGGGGTCTCTGGGCAGCCCCATAGACCTGTCAGGATCTCAGCGGCTCTGCAGGTCACCAATGACTTCCACCAGGATTGCAGGGGGTCAGGTCTGCTCCCCGTCCCTGTGTGCCAGCTCAGGGCACTGCTTCTCCTCCAGATAACCCATCTGACTCCTGAAAGCTGAGGCAAACAAGGCATTCTCTACCTCAGCCTTTTCCTCGTCCCTTGTGACCATTTTCCCCTCACCCCTGCATTGTTAAAGAAGGGAGATTTTACTTGGTGCTTCTGTGTTCCTAATCTCTTCTAACAAAGACTTTTTATTGTCTTTTATAGTAGTGGCCAGATTAAATTCAAACAGATTTTTGCCTTTCTTATGATCCTTCTGCCTAGGTTCAGGGTCAGGACACAAGGTGGGCTGGGTGGGTAAAACACTTCAGCATGGCACAGGGCTTCTTTGGGGATGTTTAGGGG